AAAAGTTAACCCCCGCCACCACAAAAAAAAAAATTAAATTTTATTGAAGAGGGGGACATTGGGGGACATCTCATTAATAATTGGCAATAAAAAGATCTGTATTTTGGTAACTTTAGCCTTAACCCTTAGGGGTCATCCATAAATGACGTCACGCTTTTTTTGACGATTTTTACCTCCCCCCCCCCTCCCCTCTGTCACACGTCGTCACAAAAAGCCAGACCCCCCCCCCCCTCCTAAAATGACGGTAAACCTCAACCTACAACCCCCCTCAAAATTGCAGTTGAATTTTTTTAAAACATCGATATTTTTCCAAAATCTTGTCTAAACTATTACAATTTATTAAAACAGATATCTAAAACGCGAAATAACGTCTAAAATTCGTTTTCTAACATTGCTTTTTATAATGCAAAAATGTGACGTCGCAACATCTGAAACCCCCCCCCCCCTCCCCCTCATCACACATCGTCTCAAAATTACGGACCCCCTCCCTCCCCCTACGTGTGACGTCATTTATGGATGACCCCTTAAGCCAACCCTAACTCTAACAAAACCTCAACCGGAACCCTATTGGCGGATAAGTTGTTTTTATAGCGTTCGTTAAAATTTAAAAATTTCTAGACATCAGAAATAAATTAGATCTAATCATCTAGATCTAGGTCACAAGGGGCGGGTCTTAACTTTTCGCCCGTGCACTTTTTGCATTTGTGATGAGGCTTATCTGGACAAGACCCATTCTTAGTTAGCCTACATAAATTCCTATTAACACCTAATACACTGATAACAAAAGTAAACACGTAGCAAAATTAGGCTAAATTATTTAGTTTTAGATTTTAATAAGGATACTTAAAATACAAAATTCATTATGAGGAAACATTTACACTGTATGCTATTGCAAGAATTCAGTGTAGAAATACAAACCTTTAGGACATTATAATCCCTTTACATACTTTATATATATATGGTATCTGAAGGCCTATATAACTCAAATTAACAACAAACACGTTTTTGTTGTAGGCCCCATATCAGGAAATAGTATGTGTTTATAAGTTAAACTTTGCTTCATATTTTTAGGAGCACATAAGATGCGGCTTTGAAAAACGAGTGCTAAAAAGTGCAAACCTAAATATAAATACAGGTTCAACGTTGCTTTTAACAATATTATTCAGTGCTTATTGCACACAAACATGAATATTCACTATCACGTAAACAGAAAAAAAGCCTATACTGTATTGAAATGTGTTTTAAAAGTCAAAAGCATAATTCAGTGTTTCTTTCATGCAGTTCCTGTGGAAACTGCCCCCCCCCTCCTCAAGCATGTCCATGTCCATCATCCCCCCCCCCCCCCCCCGAAGAAAATAAATATTTATATACATGAGAAAACATAGCCAATACTTTTAAAGTTTCCACAGCCCAATTTTGAGCGAAGGCTTTACATTTTTATTTAGAAAAAAAATATGTCATCATAATACGTCTTTCGATATGACCCACTGAATAAGATACTTAATACATACTGAATCAGTTAATAATCGACCTAATTATGATAAAATTACAATTTAAGTAGGCTAAAACTAACTGATGATTCATAAATATAGCCTAAATGAAAACTGTATGCCTACGTTTAAAATTTTATTGTAAACACTTAGTAGACTGTGTGATAATTTAATTTAAATCTAGAATCTATATGACGTTATTTTCTAAAATAAGTCTACAATGCGCAAAAAAAAAAAATAACTAGATCTAACCGAAATCTAAATTTTTACTTTCTCGTATATACGAAGTATAGAGAAAGTCTTGTAATCGTGCAAAAAAAAAAAAATCGAGATTTTTGCAAATCTCGACGTTTTACATCTCACTGATACGGAAAAACATAATTTTGCAATCTTGTCCGTATGTCTGTGTGTCTGTGTGTGTGTCTGTGTGTGTGTGTGTCCGTGTGTAAACACGATAACTTGAGTACCGTTACAGCTAGGTTGATGAAATTTCATATACAAGTATTTTATCAAAATCGTAGATCCGTATCAACTTTTGAGCGATTTCGGATAACCGGAAGTGGTACTTTTTCTACTTTGAATTTTTCAAAAGCCTATAACTTGAGTACTATTTCAGATAGATAAATGAAATTTGATATGTAAGTAAAAGATCTAATTCTCTACCTTCTGTCAAATTTTGAGAATTTTTCGTTGACTGGAAGTACTTATTTACGCTACTTCCGATTTCTCAAAAAACTAATGTAAATTTTAAAAGTACTAATAATATTGCGCACTATTATGCGCTTTTTTATTCGCGTTCACTTGGTGTGCAATTAATTTGTCTACGAGATTTTATTCTATTTTTAAAACTTTAAGTATTTAAAATGGATTAAAAATCATGTCTATAGCCCGAGTTCCCATCCCCTGTTATTTTATATAAGAATATTCGAGAAAGTTTAGGGGAGATCACTCCCGGTTTATTTTTTATGGCAACTGACCCAGTTGCCTAATTATTTTAGTCCAAAATTGGATGCGTCGTGACATGAATGAAAATACTACTGAAGGCCTATTTCTAAGTTCCGGAACTCATGAGATACAAAATGGCGTACATACCAGCTACATGGGACATGTACGATCTGATACAAGGAGTCTTGCAGGTCTTTTATTACTGTTATTTAATCTTAAATATTTTGAAATAACTGTTTTTAGCGATTACTAGATCTAGTTATTTTTAGATCTATATAGATTTAGGCCTTTGAAGTTCGGATTTATCTTAAAATAACTAGCCTAATGTGGCCGCAACAATCATTCAATCAACAAATGAGAAAAAGAGGGGGGGGGGGGGGGGGGGGAGTTTCTTCTCAATGCAATCTATCATTCACCAATGAATCAGCAAGACGACTCATTCATTCATTAAATCACACTAATGAATGTAGATCTAGATTTAGATCTAAATCTATAGAAATTTACCTAAAACTGATTTATGAGAATGATCACTCATCATCACTGATTAATGATTATGTTATGTAATAATATCCAGTGTAACTTTTTCTTTTGGATTTGATTAGTCAACAATCAACAAGTGGTAGAATATAGATCTAGATTCTTGATCTAAACTAGATTCTAGTCTAGATCTAGATTTCTAGATCTAGAATGAAAGAATGATAGAATTAGAGTCTATTCTAAATCTACCAACTAGGCCTTAATTCTAGCCAGATGTAAATCTAGATTCTAGTCTAGTTTAGATCTCTTAACTTCGAGGTTAAGGCTGTGCTAGTTTCTGCTGTACTAGAAATAATTATTTAAATTATAACTAGATTTCTAGATGATAAATGTCAGATGAAGAAGTAGCTAGACTTTAGACAAAGAAAAATGCAAGAGTAAGTCCTAACACCACCGACTGTGGACTACTGTGGAGTGATAAATTTAAAATTATAAAAAGCTAGTTGGCTTTGCTTAATTTTAATAGTAATTCACTGATAGAGAAACTATTTTTTTTCTCTTCTGGCTACATGTTGTATAGATTTAGAAAACTAGATCTAGTCGGCTAAACTGAGTTGATGAGCTGATCTCAATTCTATTTCTTCATCTTGCACCAACATTATAATAGCCAGGACAGAAATTAATATGACACCATTTCTATATTTTTATATTAAAAAGTACTAGCCTATGGTTTTTTAATTAACATTTTTTAAAATATTTCTGCTCCAGATCAGTTAAATAATGAATCTGATGTAACTCTTGTCCATTATCTTTTCAGGCTCCTTGGTATCATATCGTATTTGAGGTTGCCCTAATAGTACTGATCTTTAAAATTTACGTATCTCAAAGCTTTTCTCCAGACAAGACAGTTCTGACAGATAAGGTGAGTGGCAGTTGATGTCTACGCTTTTGCACTTAGGCTATGTAGATTTTTTAAAACTTTTCACACCACATATAATACCATGAATTTAAATGATAATCCCTCATAACTGATACAAAATGTAAGCTGGCTCAAAAATCTTAAGCATTATGTGGTTCTTTGTCACTTTGTGGTTGGAGCTCAGGCCAATAGTCTAGCTCTTTTTGTTTCTTATTCTACCATAATCACAACTGAAGTGTGAATAATTATGTTGAACCAGTCACTTTTTTAAATTGAAACTTTGAAAAAAAATCTTTGTGATGTTTAGCTTCCATTTTTCTCTATGTATATAGAAACCACTAGCTTTGGCAGTAGCCTAGTATAATTATTTGTGTAGACAAGTACTTATTTTAACAGTTTTATTAATTTCAAGACCTTTTTATTTAATTATGCAAACAAGTCATTTTAAAATTATTTATGAAGTTTAATAATAAATGATCACGCAGCTGTTTAATACTTGTTGATTTGCATATTACACGATGAATATAAAAAAAAAAATTTTGTTCAATTTTATTCTTCTCAATCTTTGTTTTATAACATGGGTTCTGATCTTTTCATTTTAGGAGAAGGACATGCTAGTTGAAGAATGGGAACCTGAGCCACTAGCCCCACAAGTACCAGATGATCATCCACTGATCAAGTCTATGGAGAAATTTTGCATTGAAGGGTAAATTGCTAAGTAATTGGGTCAGCATATATAAACTGATTAAATAATTATCACTTCTTTTAGTTTATAAGCATTATATCACTTATCAGTAAAACTGTTGTAACAATTGAATTGTGTGTCAGGGTATTCTGTTTTTTTTTTTGTTTTTTGACAAATCTGCAGAAATTCAGTTTGCAATTCTTTAGTTGTCTGAATCTTAATAGATTGTAATTAGTAAAGATGATATGTAATAAGTTTTTTTTTGTTTGTTTTACTCATAACAAATTATGCCAATTTTTTAAATTTCTAGACAAAATGGGAAGTACATTAAAGTCAATGGTAAATCTTGCATCAACATGGCCACCTTCAACTTCCTTGGTATGGTTGGGAGGAAGGAGATCAGTGTAAGTCACCTCCCCTGTTGTTGAGTAGTTGCCTGCCCTTGCTACAGCACACCATATTTCTGTTAATGTCTAACATGTAAATTGATGTTTTGTGATGTATTTGTTTGATCTGCAGGAGAGAGCAGTTAAAGCTTTGAGAGTTTATGGTGTTGGATCATGTGGGCCTAGGGGGTTTTATGGAACTATGGGTAAGTTTTATCTTCTTCAAGTAAAGATCCCTCTTTAGACCTAACGATCCATTGAATAGATGAAGTAGAGTCAGGTGACTCAAACCCTCTCGCACGAACCTAAGCGTAACACTTTCCCTAACCTGAGTAAGGTACCCATCAGAGCTGGATGGACTCAAGGACGTTCCACTGACTTGAACCTGAATTTGAACTTGTGACTTTTAGGTTAGCAGTCTAGCGCTCTACTGCTAGGCCACACTGTCCAATGTCTTTTTCAAGGCTAGTAACAATAAACTACCTTTTCAGACCTGATGCTGTAGGTTGCAGAAGTATTGAAGTTCATCTGTTCCTGCCCCTCCCTCTCCATGCATACAAATGCATTGTCTGGTTAGCCGTCTTTACTTTCCCTGGCTTAAGGACATGGGCGGGTGCACTTTTCGTCATAAATCCACTAAATCATCGATTTCCCACTTTTACTTGATCTATACAGAATAACCGTCGTTGAATCTAAAAATGACATTGTTATGACCCTAAAAACAGTATTTATTTATGAAAAACCGGGTTCAATGTAGTGTGTACAGGGTCTTTTGTTTAATTTTTTGGTAAAAATAGCAAGTTTTCGACCTTGAAAAGTACTATTAGGCTTCGCGGAAACCTAATGTGTTTCATATCAATGGAAAGGCCGTGACCTCCTTTCTTTATTTGTTCTAAAATTAAGTGACCAATCAAAATACCTATTTTAATGTGATTATTTTTCTACGTCATAAAGTTGTTTATTTTACTCAGTCGGGTTTTTCCGGTATGCAAATTTTTTACCTCAATTTTTTCATTGGCATACAACTGCGGAAGCTAGTTAGCGATTGGTCGTTTCGCTTCGGAAGTAAACATTCCCTTAGTTTCAGCGCGTTGCTAAGTTTGATCTAGTTTTGTTTCTCTAAGCGTCTGTGAAATACTTACATTATTTTAATATAGAATTATTTCAATTAAATATACTATTAACAGTTTAGACTAGTTTGTGTGAATTATCATAAGCAGAGAGACGATTTAATTTGTTTCTCTTTCGATAATGGGTAGAACAAAACACTCGCTAAAAATAGATACACACATCTAACTAATTTACTAAAGCTAGAGCACGTCCGAATGCAACTGATTGCAGCTACCTCTACTCAATCTAGCACTATTCAGACAAGCACTGGTGCAGATGTAATATGCACATTTACTAAGAAACTGCGGCAATGTAAGACAGTTTTTACAGACAGAAGAAAGCACTGTTACATCTAGTACTGGTAGTGCTAATTGTAAACCACAGCCATGCAGAATTATTGTCCACTGTGATTTGCTTCTTGATGCTATCAATATATTTCCTCGCCCACTGTGATATAGTGGCTACTATTGATGAAAAAAGTGTAAAGTGTTTGCTTCAAGCATGGTGTGGCAGTAATAAAAATGTTGTAAACCGTAAGTATACAACTGCAAAAGAATCCAGAACAAGGACTTTCACAATAAACAAAGACATCGTCTTATCATAATTGGCTTTAGACATGAGACCATGCAAAATATACTGCTGTTTCTGCGATAGCATAATTCAATTTTGGGCCCAGGCATGCTATGGCATTGCTGTCAAAAGAAGGAAACCATAGTCGAAGACCCAGTGAAGGACGCCAAAAAAGACGCCATGACAACAGCTTTACTACAGCTCTAGGTAAAACAAACAGCGCCAGAAAAAAAGAAAACTAACAGCTGAACAAGCTCAGAAGGAATATATTCAGCAGCACCATACTTCAGGCTATAAATGTGGTCGATTTTAGTGACATACAGCGATAAATTTTCATTTTTTGCAACTTTTTGTTAGTTTTTTGCGTTTTTCTCAGTTTGATGTTTTTTTGTACAATTGTTGAAATAACTTTGTTAATAATTATCAGAACTGAACTAAATTTGCTCCAGTTACTCTTTATATATATTCAAATAAAACTGATAGAACACTTTTTGGAATTTTTGTAAAAAAAAAATTTTGTTGTTGAAATAGTGAAAAAATTGGACGAAATAATGAAATTTTTACAGTGATGTTTGAAAAAAAAAAGTAAAAAAAAACCTATTTTCTTTTTTGAAAATATAATCTATCAGAAGTCTTAAACACATGTGTCTGCAGACTATATTAAGTTTTCATGAAATTTGAACAAACCATTTTTGAGTTATTTCCATTTAAAAATCGTCAATAAAATCCAATATGGCCGCCGTCACCATGGCAATGGAAGATTTAAAAAATAAAAAAAAATATTTTTATGCTTAACTCTTTGAGTTATAACTATTAGCCAAGTATTACATCTTTTGACTCGGAAATAAGGAAGTTGGTACTCATCACCCGCCCATGCCCTTAAGTCAGGTGCTCAACAGGGCTGGTTAAACACAGGAACATCCTGTAGACAATTTATTTTTTCTGTCCTGGGCTGAGACTTAACAGTCATACATTTGATTTTTGCATCCCAATTTTTTAAATTTAAAAGTTTCCTGTAGTTATAAACAATGTCGTAGTTTAGCCATAGTCTGTTTTACTGATTTTTTAAATTTGTAGATGTACATCTTGAATTGGAAGATGAAATAGCCAAGTTTATGAACACTGAGGAAGCCATTTTGTACTCCTATGGCTTTGCTACTATTGCCAGTGCTATACCTGCCTACTCTAAACGTGGAGACATTATATTTGCGTAAGTGATGATACAGCTTTCTGTGTTTATAGATCATCAATAAAACACAAATTGATAATATATCCATGGTAATAAAATGTAATAAAACCTCATTATGTTTTCACTGTTTTTAACTTTTAATTAATTATGAAAAATAGTATTTATTCTGTAAGTGTAATTAATCTTGGTATTTTCTTTTATGTTTTGGTTATTTTAAATTTCACTGCCCATGAAATATTGTATTTTTATGTCTTGTATTTTTACAGTGACGAGAACGTGAATTTTTCTATCCAGAAAGGACTAGTTGCATCTCGTAGTCACATTAAATGGTTTAGACACAATGACATGGAGCACCTTGAAGCTCTTCTCATAGAACAGGCCAAGGCTGATAAAAAGGTATCTTTTGTTTCTTTTCTTTACAATTTAATTTTTTTAACTAAAGCTGAATGTAAACTTTTGTTTTGTTTGTTTACAGAAAACTCTGTAAAAGTGTATGATATTCATGTGGAACCCTTAAGTTCTCTTTTTTGTTTATTGGCTAAATTTAGGATAATAAAAATTATAAATACAGATATATATATATATTAGGTTTAAACTATCTGGAAGATCAGTACTTTTGTTAATCTTAAAATAGTGTAAACATTTTGAAAATTTGAATACAAGACAAAATTTATTATTTTATTTGCTCATCTTTTGATCTTTGTTTTCATTCACTAGAATCCTAAGAAGGCAAAAGTTACCAGAAGGTTCATTGTAGTTGAAGGCTTGTACATAAACACTGGCAGCATATGCCCCCTGCCTAAATTGGTATGCTGTGTTTCTATTTCTTTTCTTATCAAAACATTTAACCTGTTTAGAAATGTATGTTAGTTAAGTTCCTGTTTCAAACCTGACAGTCCATGGGGTAAGTGAAGTAGAGTTCACCTCTTTCTGTGACCCTGGCATATGAAGGGATAATGTGGAAATGTTATGCCCAGCTGCTGTAACTTTCACTAACATGAGTTAGGTACCCATCAGAGCTGGGTGGACTCAGGCACGTTCTACTGACTTCAGGGCTGCCTACCCCAAAAATTTTTTCCCTGTAACAAGAGCATAGGTTTTCCGTAACTTTCCGTATTTTTACACATTTTTAAATACAATGTAAATAAGACCCATATTATACGATCGTAAACCTCATCAGCGTAATGATGACAGTCGGCGACTCGTGCTACTTTTTATTTTATGGACTAATAATTAGTTTTTAAAAAAACGCCGTTAAATTCAGAATGTAAGGCGACAATGGAAAATTTCAAATAGGAATTGTTCTTGCAATGAGTAGTATGACGTATGATATAGCGCAATATATATATTTTATATAGGCCAACTTTACGGATATCTAAACCAATGTGAACTCATTGACCCCTCGACTGTGTGTGTGTCAGGATTTTTTCTCCCGCGAACAAGAAACCGTAAGCGGCCGACGGGTGACGATGTTTAGAATTAGCATATTTCTTGAATATTTTTTTTTTAAATCTACATTTTATCAATGTAATATCTAGAAGAAAAGAACAATTTTAAAAATATGATCCGTAATTGATCTAGGTGAGCCTAGATCTCGTTGTTTAGTAATATCTTGTCTTCTCGCACACAGTGTTTCTTCCAGACTTTTTTCTCCGGGGGGGCACTTGAAATTTTCGGGGGGGCGGTAGACTTTCTTCGGGGGGGCGGACACTGTTAAAAGTATATATTTTCTATATAAATTATATAAATTTCATTTCGTTCGGGGGGGCGGTAAAAATTTTCGGGGGGGCTTTGCCCCCCCCCGAAGAGATGCCTGGAAGAAACTCTGCTCGCACATCTCAAACAAAATGCCTCGATATCTCGCTATTTAGGCATTTAGCCGTATTAGTAGTAATACCGCCTCAGCAAATATGTCTTGCCAGACTGCGCGACCAGACTTTCAATGATTTAGGCCACGCCCTTTTTTTTCTCTACGTACAACACCGGCTCATGAGGTATTACACAGACCACTCGCGGGGTCAATAGTTCACAATATAAACACGACTGCTGCCAGCCATGACATGAGCGGGAAGGGGGAGGGGGGATTGTTACGGAAGAGGCTGAGAACCTTAGAACCGGATAACACACTGAAATACTGAAATATAACTAGCTAAATTAAAATATAAAACTCAGACCGGGAACATAAAGTTAAGTTACCATCAGAATTTTTTTTTTTACTCTACTGAAATCAAAACCGTAATTTTGCAGCATAATCGTAATTCCGTAACCTGGGTGTCAAAATCGTAAAGTTACGGGCAAAACCGTACAAGTAGGCAGCCCTGTGACTTCAACCCGGATTCGAACTAGAAACGTTTTGGTTAGCAGTCTCAGTCATTATTTCCTTATACTTTGTAAAAATCCAAGATTGCTGAAAGGGTATTTAATTTTTAATTTATACATTGTAACTTACATACTTTGTTCTTTATTTCGAATCGTTTTAGCCATTATCAAAAAAATAAAGTTTATTTTTTTCTCTGCAGGTTGAGCTCAAGTGGAAATACAAAGTCCGTATTTTTCTGGATGAGTGCTTGTCCTTTGGTGTGATGGGGGACACAGGCAGGGGAGTCACAGAGCACTATGGTATTAATCCTGATCAACTTGACTTGATATCTGGATCACTTGAGAACTCCATGGCCTCTGTGGGTGGATTCTGTGCTGGCAAAAAGTTTATCATTGACCACCAGGTAATAACCACAGGTGGAATGTATGATCTTGCAGGTTGTGTTTGTATATATTCTGCTACATCAAACGTCTGACATCTTAATCATGCACTGGTTCCCTTTCAAATATGAAATGAAAGTTTTTATAACCTCATCATATGAAGATACATAATATGCTAATCAGTCTGTATTAATTCTGTATCTTGCTAAGTACTCAGAAAATTTCCTGATCTGGAAATTCATGAAATCTGATGAATAGTCAGGAAATCTTCATAAAACTGCAAATTTTTTCTTTTCCCAAATAGATATTGACTAGGCATAAGCCTAGCCTAATCTAGTCTAGTTCTAGTGGTCAAGTTTTAAGACATACGAAATTAGTCTTGTGGTATTGGCGCAAACTAAAAAAGAAGTCATCTACCACGATTTGAGATGTATTTAACTGTCAATAAGGATTAAAGACCATGCATAAAATTAATGACTTGCGTAATTAATCATCACACTAATTACACCCTTTTTCTATTCCCATCTCACAGAGGTTGTCTGGCTTGGGCTATTGTTTTTCAGCATCTCAGCCTCCCATGTTAGCTGCTGCTGCTATTGAAGCATTGCATATTTTACAAGAACGGCCAAGTAAGGAATACTCACTTATTTATTTTATACAACCTGGGTTACTCACTGTTTAACTGGATTATACTATAGGAAGGTTTATAAGTAGTGCTGAGTTGTTTTTTTTTTTTGTTCTTTTGTTTTTTTTCCTTGAATTGTTTACCTAATAATAATACTAAGAACTCGTGACACTAGAAGTTCCATTTGTGAGATTTTTATTTCAGGACTTTTGGTTGATTTGAGAGAAAACTGTGAGAAGGTTCATGAAAAATTAAGCAAGTAAGTATTCAAATAAGCAAGATATTAAGTTTAAAAAAAAAGTGAACTGCTGTTTTAATCCTGACAATCTATTTTTTTTTCCTTTCTTCAAACTGATGTGTTGTTTTATTTTTGGAACACTAGTCTTTGAAGTGGTCCCAGATCTGTTCCATGCTTGTCCTTTTGCTTTTTCAAATTAATTCTAATTGGAGTTTCTATGGGTTCTGTATCAAAGTATTTTTACAGTATGCATTGCTTACATTTATGTGTTGCTTTATAGTATACATTCTCTGTTGATTAATAGTATATATGCAAGTGTTGATTGATAGTATAAATACAAGTGTTAATTGATAGTATATATGCAAGTGTTTATTGATAGTATATATGCAAGTGTTGATTGATAGTATATATGAAAGTGTTGATTGATAGTATAAATGCAAGTGTTTATTGATAGTATATATGCTAGTGTTGATTGATTGTATAAATGCTAGTGTTGATTGATAGTATACATGCAAGTGTTCATTGATAGTATAAATGCGAGTGTAGATTTTAACAAAAGAGTTACCTTTCAGTATTTCTGCATTTGGTGTGATGGGAGACAAGCGCTCCCCTGTGAAACACATTTACCTGAATGAACCAGCTGATGACAGAGATTTTGATGTGACAACTCTGGAACTGGTGGTTGAACATGTGAGTAGGCTGATCACACTCAGCAACATTAACATTTTAAACCCCACATTTACTGGGATACAGAAGTTTCTTCTTTTGGTTGTAGTTTGTTTTTACAGCAAATTTAAAAAATGTATCCCTCCATGTCTTCAGTCCCTTATGTTGTTTTTTTTTTTTACCACTGTCTTTTTGTTTTCCCCTATAATTACAATGAATTCACCATTAGTCTTCATTTGAATCACATCTCTTGACAGTAGTTTCAATCTTGGCAACACTAGCACCACATACTTTTTCAGTTATAAATCTGATTATTGCATTTATTTAGTGCAGTAGTTTCAGTAGCAGGGAGGATTGTTAATAGAATCCCTTTCACCCCAGCACACCTCTCTAACCTTCCTAGCAACCATGAGATATAAAACTAGTCTCCTGTGTCTGTCAGTCTAATTGTCCTCTTGACTCTACCCCTCTAACTGTTTCTGTCTGTTGATATAAAAAAATATCGTTTGTAATAATTTATAAAACATTTTCCCTAACGTAAATTTGACATAAAAACTTTTTCCCTAACTAAAATTTGACATATAAAACTTTTTCCTCCTCAAGGCCATGAAAGAAGGCGTGGCTTTAACTGTAGCTCGATCTCTGGAACAAGAAGAACATGTCCTCATGCCACCCAGGTAAGTCAAGCCTGGTCCTGCTGTTTAATATGTGCCACTTTGATAATAATATTTTAATATATTCTGTTGAAGACTTACATTTTTAACATGCCAATCTTTAAAAGAATATAAGGCATAATTTTAAATTGATAACAAGAGTACAACTAGACTAGATTAGTACAGTTTAAAATTAGCTTAATTTTAAAATAAAACTTAATTGCATTTCCTATAATAAAAAATAGATAAAACCAACTGAGTTCTTGTCCAGAAATAAATGTCCTATTTATTTTTCATGGTCTGATCACATACCTGAATATAAGCTGTTTTAAACTGTGATAATCCTGTTTTAATTTGTGCCAGTGGTATATTTATTTGGATGGAGCACTTCTATTTACAATGTATATGTTGAGAATAAAAGTATTAATAAAACATCTATGGAAATGAAGCTTTTCTGAAAATGTTTATTAAAACTGTATTTCAGTATTCGACTGACTGTAAATAGTGAACTAACAGAGGCTGAAATTAATAAAGTGGTAAAAGTGATATCAGAAGCTTTTGAAGCGGTGTTGAATAAACAAACAGGAAGGCAAGTTTTCTTTTACTCTTTAATCAATAGACTGAAACTTGTCATGTATTGTTTCCCTCACAAGAAATATTTAAAGCCTAGATAACTGCTTGCTTCATTGCTTTATAAGTGGATAAGACTCCTTGATAATTTGTAAATGAATCATACCGTGTAGTGAAATTAGAACCAGAATATCTGACAATTGATCATTAAAAACCTTTTTTTTTTATTTAAAAAATTGACAAATTGGGTTATTCGTCCCTGATAAAATAATTACCAGTAGGTAGTCTGAGCAGCTCTCTTACTGCAGTACATTCCATTTTTAGTAATTCTATTTTAATTTGTTACATGAGCCTCATTGCTGTGAGAAATTCACTGGTCTTTGATGGGTTATGATAGCTGTCTTTAAAATATAGGTTGTTATATAGTAAAAGGTTTAATTACAATAAAATATTACTTAAAATTGAATTACATATCTTTATATGCTTCATTTTTAAAAAATCAATATATTTTTTTTTTACCAATGTATGCTTTGAGGGTAGATTGATTGATGCTGGTAAGGTTAGAGAGTGAGTAAAGGTTGCAACTGGTTTTTATTTGAGTGTTACAATTTCAGAATAATATACTATATAGTCAATACAAAGCTAGATAGTATGCCTAGTACTAGTATTTGTTTGAAACAAGATTTAACAAGTTGATTTATAATGTATCTAATCAGAATATTTAAATGGTTTAAAAGCTCCACACTTATTACAAGTTAATTGTTTTCAATTTGTTAATTAACATTTCATTAATTTTAATAACCTAGCTGTTTTTATTGTTTTAAATTTTTTAATTGAGATTTTGTGAATTTTAATAACCTCAGTGTTTTTATTAATTGTTTTACATTTTTTAATTGAGATTTCATGAATTTTAATAACCTCAGTGTTTTTATTAATTGTTTTACATTTTTTAATTGAGATTTCATGAATTTTAATAACCTCAGTGTTTTTATTAATTGTTTTACATCTTAAAATTAAGTTTTCGTGAATTTTAATAACCTCCATTTTTTTGTTATATTTCCAGCTCCACCATGTCCAGCCCAATGGATTCTGTAAAGCAGGAAGATGAAATGATAGCATCCAGATAAATTATTTCATGCAATGCATAATTTTGCCTTAAAATCAAAGCCCATCGTTTCACTTGCTCATATCCTTATCCCCGACCATTCATTTAACATTATTGCACTCTTGAATTACTTTACAAATACTTTACATTGATAACACATTACATGATAACTATTAATTTTAAAAATGTATTGTCTGGTTTGTCAAACAAAATCTCTGCCACTGTTTACTGTCTTATAAAACCAGTGTGATGGTTTTGATACACAAGACATTCCTTTATTTCAGGCTGTATATATTTTTCTTGTGATGCTGTTTAAATATCCTTCTAAATATCAGGTTTTGTAAACTTTGTCACATAAGAGTTCTGAACTTAAAATCTTAAATTCCTTTGTTTTTGTCCTATTGCAATAACTCTTTGACCGAGAATCGTACTCCTTAAAGGATCTGCTGAGATTTTAATGGGTTTTTATTTACTTGAGATTACTCATCACTGAATCAAATATTAAATAATTGAATATAAACTTTATTTGCAATTTTTTAAATAAATTATTTCCTGTCCTCACAGATATTTAGATTATGAAAGTTGTGATTAATTTATTACTTCAATCAAAACTCACTTTTAAAAAAATTCTTATTTGGATAACATTATCTGCATCTCTTGCCCCGTAGTAAAAGTTAAATACTTATTTTCTACACACAGCTCACTCAATCCACAATACCAGCTGACTTTTTTTTTTACAAAAAAGAGCTTTAGTAGTAAAATGTAATTTATATTATTTAATTCAACTCAAAAAGTTCACAAACTCATGATAGTTTGTTGTTTCCCCCCCCCCCCCCCCAAGCCAAGGCTGATGGTTAGGTTATAATTTTGGTTTAATCTTTACCCATTTGTCAATGTTTAGAGAAACCTTTGGTTTAGAATGAGGTTAGGAAATGAAATAGCTTTACATCATTGGTACATTTTAAAATAATTTTATGGTGCCTCGTTAGTGATGTAAAACTTGACCTGTGTTTAAAAGTTCTTATACTGTGTGATCTACACCTGCATACAACTAATTTTGCTAACAATAAAAAGTATTCTATCAACATCCAGGTGAAATTGTACTTTGGTGCTGAACTTTGTCATTTATCCTAATTGCACTTTTTATTTTTAGTTTTGTAGCACTACTAACCAACGCACATTTGAAACTGTGATGATAAACAGCAGCTAAATGATAATTTACAATCAGATTTAACAAGTTTTTTTGGTGTTATTTACATGTTTGAAAACTGACCTTTACCAAGCGACAATACGAAGAATTTTATTTTTGTAATATTTATTTAATGACATGGTTTTTTTTTCTCTCTTAAGCTTTAGTCTGCTGTTAAATATGTTTGGTAAAATATGACATTTTAACTTTATAACTGCACAGCTTTAAAGTATTTATCTTCAAATCAGTTGATTGCCAAGATATTAATCACCTCTCTATTAAGTTGTATAAATATATAATTTTTTTTTTGCACCCTTTCTCTTGAAATTTTCTATTTATTTTATACAAATAATTTATAAAGTAGGTTTTTGATACTTTTTTCACCAATAATTTTAAAATGTTGACCAACCTACCCTCACAGCTTAATAGTAGTCTTGTGTCCCTCATGTTGTCCATCTGTTTGTCAGTTGGTAAGTGGCCGGCATGACAGGTGCTGGGTTGGCTATGATGCTGTGTCTCCTGAATGTTTATGTTGGTGATGTAAGGCACTTTTTGCCATAATCCTGTCAATACAGAGTGTGGTGTATGTACTGTTACCCCTGCATCCAACATTTGTGGAGTAGGGTCTATAACTCCAACATTGGGGGTGTAGGGTCTATAACTCCAACATTGGGGGTGTAGGGTCTATAACTCCAACGTTGGGGGCCATGACTCAAACATTGGGGGTGTAGGGTCTATAACTCCAACATTGGGGGTGTAGGGTCTATAACTCCAACATTGGGGGTGTAGGGTCTATAACTCCAACATTGGGGGTGTAGGGTCTATAACTCCAACATTGGGGGTGTAGGGTCTATAACTCCAACATTGGGGGTGTAGGGGGGCCATGACTCCAACATAACAATTTGTGATGTAGGGGCTATAACTCTATCACAAACGTGTCTTGTAGGGGTCACAACTCTAAACATTGTGTATTGGCACTACCTTGCAGGAAAGTCCAGATAGCATCTTGCAGAGCCATTCCACACCTTGAGTCACTGTGTGTACAGTGTACAGGCCATTTATCCAGCTCATGAACTGAAATGTACATTTTAATTTGCCAAAACCTACATTAATTAGATCTATCTTTCTTCACAACCCCAAGAATATTTTTTTATTGTTTATAAGAATATAAATGGAATTTTAACCCCTGATTGTCTTGATTATATAAAAATGTATACATTTTGAAATAACTTTTCAAATTGCTTTTGTAGTTGAGGAAATTTTTAGTGTGAGTGTCTTAAACTTATACAGGAATTGTCGTGTGAGATCTTCAATTAGAAATAAAGTGTTTGTTTATAGGATTTGAGTTTCATTTTTTTTATATGTTTGTTTTTTGAATCAGAATAACATAAAAATAATATTTAAGTCTTGTCATCTTTATAAATAGTTTCTACACATTCAAGAATAATAATTTTATAATAAATATTATGTGTATTATTGATTGGATAAGAGCAGGAACTAAGATATTTTTGTTTGTGATGTCTGCACATCAAATAGTTGCCAGATCAAGTGGAAGATTTTCTGATCTAACATTGGCAGCAGGCTATTTTTAAACATGTCATGTGATACAGTCACACGTGTTGACATCTGATATACATAAAAAAATAGTGGTGCTGCTTATAGCCAGGTTAAGTGTATATATATATATATATATATATATATATATATATATATATATATATATATATATATATATATATATATATATATACATTATATATATGTATATATATATATTATAAATGTATATAAATATATATTTATATTTGTAAATAAATATACATATATATACAAACACATACATATATATAATTTATATGTATACAAACTTATATACAAACACATATATATATAATTTATATGTATACAAACTTATACATACACAATTGTTTATACACATTAATAATATATATATACACTTTATGCTTATATGTGAGTATATATATAGGCCTACTCACTTAGTTTGACAGTATGCTATATACCTACATTCTCTATACACACAAAAAAGTTGAGCACTAGCCAGTCTGTTACCTTCAACTAAGTGGGACTGTTAGGGTGAAAGGTTTGATAATGGGAAAGACAAACAAGGAATGTCTGTTGTAAGAACTGATTACTGCAACAGACCCACCTAGTAGCTGTCCACCCCCACCCCACCACTTCCTTACACAGCCACTAGAACTGATTAGAAATCTCCCCCCCCCCCCCCAACACCACTGAAGGCGGGTCACCAAATTAGCCCTGGTAGTGATATCAGTCCAGACACCACACTCTATGTTGCCATTTGTCCCATTCCTTCCCTAACCTGATAACAGGTAGGAACGTCACTGACACACAGGTAAGTCTTGTAGTTTTTCTATCATTTACACTACCACAGGTAAGTCTTGTAGTTTTTCTATCATTTACACTACCACAGGTAAGTCTTGTAGTTTTTCTATCATTAACATTACCACAGGTAAGTCTTGCAGGTTTCTCTCATTTTCATTACCACCGGTAAGTCTAGTAGTTTTTCAATCATTTACATTACTACAGGTAAGTCTTGTAATGTTTCTCTCATTTACATTACCACAGGTAAGTCGCATGTTTCTCCCATTTTCATTCTCAAATACTCATTATATATACTAATAAATGTAATTATTATATATATACTAATTTATATGTATGTATATATATAAACATGTATATACATATATTTATATATATATATATGTATATATATATATATATATATATATATATATATATATATATATATATATATATATATATATATATATATATATATATACATTTATAAATATGTATATATATATACATACTCATATATATATATATATATATATACATACTCATAATTATAATTACATATATATATATATATATATTCACACACACGTATATATATACATGTATACAAACACATACATATATATATACATATAATACACACACACGTATATATTTATATATATATATATTTATTATATTTATATATATATATATATATATATATATATATATATATATATATATATATATATATATATATATATATATATATATATATATATATATATATGTTCGGTATCTATTACCACAGTGTTATGAAGACAAAAAAAAGTAATTACTTATCTTTCATAAATATTTCCACTATTGTATCCTATAAGTTCCCCAACCTGTTTGATTTTCTTCTCACCATTGTTTTGTACTCTCCCCTGTGCGGAGATCTGTAAATACACCTTGACCTATAATTATCCTGGGCTCTACAGCTACGCTTCAGCCGTTAATTAGGTGGTTTGGTTAGAAGTTAAACACGGTAAACCAAGGCTAGAACTTCAGCCAATCCTTTAATAACATTTCTTACTCATATGTCTTAGGCTGTCGATGTCTACTGTTGAAGTTTGTTGTTTGTCATCAAAATCTGAATATCTTTAGCAGTGTTTGTATCAGACTTGTATTCTGGGGGGGGGGGGGGCGCTTAAAACTTTTGGGTGGGGGACACAATTTTCCGTATGGAAATTGTCTTCGTTCCGGGTGGTGCGGGGGGGGGGGGGCGGGCTGGGTAGGCTCGGTAGACGTGTTTCGTCTTTTTTTTTCCATAGTCTTTGTCCAACCAAGAACAACCTACTAGGCAGCAGTTGTTTGATTTTGGAGTTGTCTCTCCTAGAAGAGTTGATGTCCCCAGCTATCGAGTGCGAGGGCTCGAGCTCGACTTTTGGGTTAGCAACCAGGAGCTTTACCGATTCGACCACGTCGACCTAATCAATTGTGAAATCCATTTTTTAAAACCAATATCTAGTTTAACCAATTAAAATTGTTAGCCACCATTAAAACGGGATCTAGATTTCCATCCGCGGACTTGCTTGTATACCAAACCAAAGCGAGTTTGGTCCGTTCATGCCTAGCTCTGTTTACCAAATTAACTATCGACTTTTTTCGGTCGTCAGGTCACCGAACGTGTAATCTCAACACTTGCAGACGTCGATTTAAATCGGGCGTTTATATACACAGATCTCAGATAAGATTCAATTAACTATCTTAGTTTGGCCGATGTTGACTGCGCGACACCTAACGGGTATATTTTTTTTATTGATTGCTACAAATAAAGATTAAATTATATCTGGAGTGGTTTTGTGTATTTGTAGAAAACTACAAGCTGGGGAAAAAACAAAGTTGTCCCAACATTGCCCCAAAAAAAAAATTCCCTTTGCCTCACAAAACTTCCTAGTTGGACATCTGTGTGCTAAAGAACTGCACTTTTTTCATGCTATAGATTGGTCTGGGTTTTTTTTTACGCAAGATCAGAAATGTTGAGTAAGGGGTCTTCCATAAATGCCGTCACACACATAGAGGGAGGAAGAGGGGCTTCAGAATTGTGTGACTATGTGTAACACCAATTACAAAATATACTGAGCAAAAAATGTTATGTTGAGTATTTTGAATAACTGATAAGTCATTCAACGACCAGGTAGGGGGTGACACCAAAATCTTATAATTTATGATGAAAACGATGCTTTTTCTACATGAATTAATTGGTGGATTAAGATAATGCGCGCACAAAGGGACGCTATTAGGCAAAACTGGGAGGAGTGACACCAATTGCAACTATATATAGGCCTATGTTGACCTTATATACATTTTTTTTTCGGGTGGAGTGGGTGACACCCGGCATAACGACGCCAATGCTGATGAATAGAAATGAGAAGATGCAGTATGATAATCCTTGAATCAAGGGCTGTTGGTCTAGGGATACTTCATAGTTGTTGTTTTTTTTCAGTTTAGTCTATTGTCAGATCTTGAGTTATGGAGATGGGGATCATCCCCAGGGTTGTGGCACTTTGTCCCTAGTAAATTAATGTAATTTTATACACAGGGGCGAAATCCTGACACCAAGACTAGGGGACAGCAACCATTTCTAGATGGAAAGATAATTTTCTACAATATTTATCTAAAAATTTAATTTGTTGGAAGTACTGTTATGTGGCAGGGAGTGGCCTAGCGGTAGAGAGCTAGACTGCTTGACCGTAAGTCTCAAGTTCGAATCCGGGTTCAAGCCAGTAGATCGTACCTGAGTCCACCCAGCTCTGACGGATACCTAACCTACGTTAGGGAAAGTAATGGCGGCTGGTGAACTCTACTTTACTTTCCCGTCAGGTTTAGAAGGGGGACTTTACTCTATGTTACTGTTAAGTTCTGATGTATTGAATCGCAGAAACTTTATTAAAGCCGCTGTTTTCTCATTCTTTACTAAACACAGTAGAGTTTGGTGTTTTTATACCTATAAAAACGAGCCACAATTCACATTTTAAAGTGCTGCATGCAGTCCCAGTTAGATGCTGGTCTGGCCATAGATTGGAAAAAAAAGCGTCCACCCTTGCCCCTGGCATAGAGGAGATAGCTAACCTCTGGTCGGATGGTAGAGCATACGACTGCTAACCCGAAGGACTCGAGTTCGAATCCTCATAGATAAGGTACCACTGGCACAGAAGAGATAGCTAACTTATGGTCGGATGATAGAGCATACGACTGTTAACCCGAAGGTCTCGAGTTCGAATCCTCATAGAAAGCAAGCATCCGTCTCTAGCACAGAAGAGTTGGTTGGCCATCCAATTAAACGGTACACTTATTGCACACCATGGGAAAGCGTGGTCGTATGGAACAGCATACGACTACTAACCCGAAGGTCACGAGTTCGAATCCTCATAAAAAGCAAGCATCCGCCTCTAGCACAGAAGAGTTAGTTGGCCATCCAATTAAACGGTACACTTTTTGCACACAATGGGAATACGTGGTCGGATAGTAAAGCATACGACTGCTAACTCGAAGGTCTCGAGTTCGGATCCCCATAGATAAGCAAGTGTCGCCCCTATCACAGAAGGGTTAGCTACGCCTCTGAACTTGTATTCCAGCAGTCCCGAGTACCCTACGCCAAGTGGGCTAACCTTTTATTTACACTGAACACTTCTCGTATTCCAGCAGTCTCCAGGCATCCAGAAGTTCCCCACTCTAGACGATGGACAACGCCCCCAGGGAGCCGCCGTCTCGCAGGAACAGCCTGGCGCAGCACCATCAGGCCCAGCACCACCACGACACCAGCGAAGACCATCACCGGAGGCAGGGTCAAGGTCACGTCGCTGAGCGAGGCCGACGGATGAGCCAAGCGTCGAAGGACACGTCCAACGCTGTATGTCAAATAAACATTTTATAAGTTTAGTAGTAGGTAAAAACAGAGGTGTAGCGAGGGGTGCGGACCGCACAGAGATACACCATTTGGGGGGGGGGGGGGGGGAGGGGGTTGTGACACCAAGGCAAAAAATTGCAAAATGCACAAAAGAAAAAACATCGTTACTATAAAATCTGCAGTAATGTGGCATATATTGAAATTATAGGCTAATGTAGGCCGACACATACACACACACACAATCATATATAGGTATGGGGGAGGGGGGGGGGGGGTGACCAGTGCCGGCGCGAGGTTTTTTAGCGCCCTAGGCAAAACTCATTAAAACGCCCTCTTTCACACAAATTAATTACTAATACACGTGAATTCCTTCGATTCCAGTTCGCAAACGTAATCACATTTTATTGAAATTGTCCACGAGTCTACTTTGTACTTTACCACATAGCTCCGCCTCCCCCCCCCCCTCCCCCCCCCCCCCCCCCACTTAGAAATTTTTAAGTGCTTCCCCCACTTCCCGGAAGAAAAAAAGTCAGGAAAAAAACGACTTAAAAAAAGTTCTTGTAGTGTTAGGCTCTCTGCAGTCCTCCCAAGGTGAGTTTCAAAACGGGACTTACCTGTTTTAAGCTCGACCGTCTTTAGTTATAATTGTAAAATGTCTATATTGTGTGATTATGTAACGAATTTTTTTGTTTTGGAACAATTAAAGGTTATAAATGTTATAGATTCCAGCCTAAAATTGTTAAATATGAATGCTTTAGGACAGTTTAGGAGAGGGTGAAAAATATGAAAAGACAATTAATTAGATGTTTAATTTACAACTAAGACTGTATTTCTACTAACATAAAGTTTTGCAATCTACAACGGCTATGGATGTATTTGTTTTTAAACTTAATAATAATGCCAAAAAAACCTACCAAACTGTTTTGTTTAGAACTTCAGCTCTATATAATTTTTACAATAGCAAATAATAACTTAAAGTTGTATTTATACGTAAGCGGTCAACCTAAGGTGCAGGAATTTTAAATGAATGTAAAGTTAAGCAACGAATTATCTCCCATTTGAAAATACAAATACCAAAATTTTATTCAAGGGAAATAACTTTAACAAGATAGCTAAATTAGCCAATTGTAACTAAGACAAGCTTAAAAAGCACAATAAAACTTTCTAAATTTCATTACGTAACAATTATAACAAGTCTTTTATATTAGCTGTGTAACCTTGTATAAACAATATATTTTACTTATTGAATACTTAACTGTAGGTTTTGTTTTGAAAGTCCCAAAGCAGTAGCTTTATAATAACATACTTCTATTCAACATTGATGACATACCTCAATTGTACTGCTTGATTGCGTAGTTGTGTCTACTAGCATAGAAAATTTTGGATCATACTTTTAGGGATCATTTCTAAAGTTTGTCTTGCCGGGACATTGAGCAAATGCACTAGAAATGCACTAGAAATGGACTATGCAACTATCACCAAAGTCAACAATGGGGTTGCGCCCATTTTTGTTCCCTCTAGGTCAGGGGTCGGCAACCTTTTGAAGCGGAAGAGCCAAAAGATGCAATTTACAACATTTTCCAGTTTTTAAAGAGCCACTAACATTTTTTTATTTCAAATATTTTATTTTTTTATTAAGATTATTAGTATTTGTGCAAGGAGCTGGAGAGCCGCATCTTGATATCAAAAGAGCCGCATGCGGCTCGCGAGCCGCAGGTTGCCGACCCCTGCTCTAGGTCGAGAGATCCGGAGAGGAGCCACCCGGACTACGGTTCGGGTGGCTTAATGAAAACTTGGGCCCAAACTCTTTCAGTTTCAGGTATCAAGACAACAATCACATTCGACGAGTCTGATGAAATAGCTCCTGAGCTCTTCGACTCGCCTACAGTAATTCAAGTCACCATAAAATCAACCAACCACCAGAACATCCCTGGTCACCTCTTGCGCAATATCATTAGCCCACACCAGATCCTGCTGCTCAACTATGGACGAGGGGATACCTGGTACTTCTCGTCCAACGAGTTTGATGTAGCGGATCTGGACGGCACCACAAAAACACACGGCACATACACTTTGAATTTCGACACTTACCACAAGGACAAAATCATCGGAACCCTTAGATGGGTCCCGCCAGCCCTGAGCAACGAAACACTGATTAAGGCACTGCAAACAGTCAGCAAATCTACACCTACAATAACCACAATCCCGCACACAAACAATCGCAGATTCACCATCCAGAACGACAATCCACAACACATCCCACACTACATCCAAATTACATACAAAGACACAACATGTAATATCCTCATCGCACTGTCAGGTGTGCGGCTCGGACAGACACTGGACCAACCACTGCCAATCATCAACACCCAATGTTCACCTGTCAACAATACAGGAACCAACTCAACAACCATCCTCACAGACAATTCTAACAGAACCACCTAGAGCACCACCCACACCGCAGCAAACATTGGTAACCCCTAACCTGTCGAACCAAAAAGCGATCCCAAGTACGGCTTACCCGAAGTCACCAACTACATCAACAAAAATCCAAAACACTGGAGAAACGCAAAGCCCAGATTCAGAAATAGATAACACCACGTCAATGAAAAGAAAAAATGAAATCAGCCCCACAGAACAAGGAAAATTAACAAAAAAAACTCGCGAACCAATCTTCGATCGCCTGACAAACACCTTAGAAACCCAGCCGCAACAAGAAACTACCACTGAACCAATTCAAATTCCCAAACCTTTAACTCCTGGAAAAGACAAGAGCTGCGGTTATTGCTTTCACAGTTTCAGTACTGCCAGCGAGTGTAAAACACATACAAAAACTTCCCATCCTGATACGAGTAAATGCCCGCATTGCAACAATCTGATCAAAAGCAGAGGAGCAATAAAGCACCACGTACTAAAACACCCAGACACCGCTGTCTTCCAGTGTGGATACTGCCTAACAAGTCTATACACCAAATACGACATAGAAAAACACCTCAACGACCAGCACCCCGACAACGACCCCTGCCACAATCAAATATTCTACATCCTCAACCCAGACAGATCCATTTCTTACATATATGCAGACGACAGAACATAAACAGCGAGAAGGACAACTCTTCAAATATGACACGCTATACTCACCACTTAAACGAGTTTTGTCAATCCCTCCTCATCCGGATTCCAACACTATCATTTTACTTTAACCCCTTTTACTGATTATCCCTTAAAATTTTGTATAACAACATATTATTATATAAAACAAATATGATAACCATGTACATACTTATTATTAATACGCTCATCCGGACAAAATGGTTTCATTAGATGATAAAATTTAGTAAAAAAGGTGTATACATTTGTAAATTCATCTTGATATGTTTTTTTTTTAAGAACATTTAGAAAAATGTAACATATGCTGATGTTGTTGCACTTGTTTTAAATTGCAAATAAAAGTTTTAAAAAAATAATTAATTTCACTTATCGAAAAAAAAATTAAACATGGTTCTTAGCCATTTGGTTGGTCAGCCCTTTTTAGGGCTGGCTGCCGGGGCAGAGAGGCGGTCAATCTAAAAAAAAAAAAAAGAAAATTTTGTATCCCCTAAATAAGGGACGTTTTTCAAAAAGTAAAATACGGGTAGCTATTTTAGCCATTGCTGGAATTATTGATTTAATATACAAAAAATTATAATTTGAAAAATCGAAGTTTACGGTTGGTCATACATTCCAATCCTATATAATATTATATATTAATACTTTAAGAGTGGTAATATAGATTCCTAAAAAAAACTAAAGATTTCAACTAGAGAAAGCCTACCTTTCTTTGCGGTGTGTTCCGTACTGAATTGAAATGATCTAACTTACGATAAACTCGACTACTCGATATTATTATACTCTACTACATTCACAACACATATCAAACTTCGATACCTAAACATAACTAGACTCGATGCGCCAGAACGACGACACAACCTCATCTAACCTCATCAAGCTCTACAAACAATACTCCCAATGAACGATTTCACTTGACCTACTACTAAACAGTCAATATAATTCGATACCTTAATACCACAAGAATCAATACTCTCGAACTCCAAAACTAAGATACTTCATCTTCTAGATTCTCATTTCTCTATTACCAACCAGATTCCACTAGATCTTCAACTACAAAACAGCCGAATAAAATGATGATACTTTAACACGTCCATACTTTATACCTACGAAACCATATTAGCAACAGCCTTCCGCCGTTACTCCCAAATCTAAACGATTCATCAAAACTTACCAAACAAGTGACAATACTTTGAACACCCCATCATTATAAAACTCTATACACCAGGACAGATTTCTAATTCAAAGTCAGAAAAAACGAGACTTACTAGCCCTATTAAAATAAGATAACCGTTTGAAATGTTCGAAATTTAATTGATAGTTCGTCCTGGGTGCCGAAATAGATCGCTACTCCTTTATAAAAGTTATTAACTACAAGGTACTTATTGATAATAGCTATTAAACCTTTATATGCCCCTCCCCCTAGAGATGGCGCCCTAGGCGACCGCCCAGTTCGCCTTATAAGTAGCGCCAGCCCTGGGGGGTGACACAATGAAGTGCCGCACCGGGTTACACCCGACCTAGCGACGCCACTGTCTTGGGTAGTTGGATGATGCACCGTACTTTTAAAACATGTTTAAAAAGTAATTCCTTTATGACAAACGTGTCAAAGTTTTTTTTTTTTCCGATTTAAAAAAATCTCCTGTTACCACTTTGGTTTGGAGTGGTGGATTAGACAAAAACTATAGATCTAAGTTTGTTAGAGACAATACATTTTGCTAGGAACCAACCGTTATCAAGAAATAAAAAAAAATTATTTGCTTTTTAGTTTTTATTTCATTTGTGTGAGTGTATGTGTGCGTGCGTGCTCGTGTACGTGTGTGCGTGTGTGTGTGTGTGTGTGTGTGTGTGTGTGTGTGTGTGTGTGAGATATATATATATATATATATATATATATATATATATATATATAATTATATATATATATACATATATATATATACATATACATATATATACAATATATAGCCTATATATATATATATATATATATATATATATATATATATATATATATATATATATATATATATATATATATATATATATATATATATATATATATATATACATATATGTGTGTGTTTTTCTCTCAGGGTCACAGTTTGCTGAGTCATCCGACGGAGCTGAGCCGACGACCGAGTCAACATTCTCACATCACGGAAGACAACTATGAGAAACACAGGCGCATCAGTCTCTACAGGTGAGTTATGTACCCTTGTATCACTCTCTACAGGTGAGTTATGTACTCTTGTATCAGTCTCTACAGGTGAGTTATGTACCCTTGTATCAGTCTCTACAGGAGAGTCATGTACCCTTGTATCAGTCTCTACAGGAGAGTCATGTACCCTTGTATCAGTCTCTACAGGAGAGTCATGTACCCTTGTATAAGTCTCTACAGGTGAGTTATGAACCCTGGTATCAGTCTCTACAATAGAGCTATGTACCCTTATTATAGTCTCTACATGTGAGTTATGTACCGTTGTATCAGTTTCTACATGTGAGTTATGTACCCTTGTATGAAACGAAGTGTGCTCTAACCATTTGTAATTTTGTCCAAGTAGGCTACATTAAGTAGCATCTTGTCCTTATTTGATAAAAAACAGACATTGTGTTTACGTGAGATGTTACATCTAAATACCTCAGCTAGACTTATATGAGAGAAAAAAAACAATCAAATTTTCAGATGTTTTTTCTGAGTTTCTTCTAAGAATAGGTGTAGAGATTGGTTTAGGCTAGAGGTTAGGCTTAGTTTTAAGCTGAAGTATATGTTGTATACAAAGACTTAAGGCTACTTTGTGGTAAACGGGTTGGTTTATTAAGTTTACTTTCTTAAAGTTGGTTTCCTTGTTGTTTTTTTTTTTAATCTATACACGGACCAAAACTCCTCTGTATGAACAAAGATATGTTATCTTGCTCACATTGACGTAAGTAATGTTGTAGATTATAATCAAAACAAGTTTAACGTAATTTTATTTTTTTTGTTTCAGTCTAAAAACCACAACCCACCGTGGCTATGGACGATCTCGGGGACTCCACAGAAAAGATGTAAGCCTGAAACAAACACCAGCGTAATATTTAAACTGACTTTTTATGCCGACGTATTTCACAGCGGGGTAGAGCGGTAGAGCATACGACTTCTTAGCTGAATGTCTCGAGTTCGAATCCCGGATTCCAGTTTGTAGGACGTCCTAGAGACCACCCCGCTCTGATGTGTACCTGAAACTCACGTTGGGGAAAGTAAAGGCGGATCGCTATTTTAACTGACCACACTGCCCCTTCATATACCGAGGTCACAGAAACATGTGACGTCATCTGCTACACCGACCGACAGTTTCTAAAGGGTAGTTTTATCATTATGAGCAATAAAATAAAGTAAAAAAAAAACATTCGAATTGGCCGGTCAGGATAACAGATGAAGTAGAGTTCATCAATAAATTGTCTGCTCAGAAGGAAGTGTTTAATAATATTTATTTTAAAATTTCGAAGATTTATTTTATAAAAAAAAGGAACAAAGTAGGTAATTCGAAAAAAAAATTCTTTAAAAAACTTATCTTTAAGAATTGCCTAAGAATAATGCCTGCCATTTAAATGATGCCGTAACAACTACTATTTTGATTTTCCCCCAACCCTGATCCTAAACAGTACCTTTTCGATAATACCCCAGTCCAAAAACTAACAAGAACTAATTGGATAATTCCCCAACCCTAAAAAGTACCACTCAGATTACTCCCTAAACCTAAAAAGTATTATTCGATAACCCCTTAACCCTAAAAAGTACCACTCATATAACTCCCCAGCCCTAAAAAGTACCACTCAGAGTTTGTTCCAGGCAGAGCCCCCCCCCCCCCCCCCCCGAAGAAAGTCTACCGCCCCTCCCCCAGAACGAAATGGAATTTATATAGTAAATATATACTTTTAACAGTGTCCGCCCCCCCCCCCCTTCCCTCGGAAATTTTAGTCCGACCCCCCGAAAGTTTCAAGTGCCCCCCCCCCCCCCCCCCGAGAAAAAAGTCTGGAAGAAAAACTGGGATCACTCAGATTACTCCTAAACCCTAAAAATTACCACTCATATAACCCCTTAACCCTAAAAAGTACCACTCAGATAACCCCTTAACCCTAAAAAGTACCACTCAGATAACCCCTTAACCCTAAAAAGTACCACTCAGATAACTCCTTAACCCTAAAAAGTACCACTCATATAACCCCTTAACCCTAAAAAGTACCACTCAGATAACCCCTTAACCCTAAAAAGTACCACTCAGATAACTCCTTAACCCTAAAAAGTACCACTCAGATAACCCCTTAACCCTAAAAAGTACCACTCAGATAACCCCTTAACCCTAAAAAGTACCACTCAGATAACTCCTTAACCCTAAAAAGTACCACTCAGATAACCCCTTAACCCTAAAAAGTACCACTCAGATAACTCGTTAACCCTAAAAAGTACCACTCATATAACCCCTTAACCCTAAAAAGTACCACTCAGATAACCCCTTAACCCTAAAAAGTACCACTCATATAACCCCTTAACCCTAAAAAGTACCAGTCAGATAACTCCTTAACCCTAAAAAGTACCACTCAGATAACCCCTTAACCCTAAAAAGTACCACTCAGATAACTCGTTAACCCTAAAAAGTACCACTCATATAACCCCTTAACCCTAAAAAGTACCACTCATATAACCCCTTAACCCTAAAAAGTACCACTCAGATAACCCCTTAACCCTAAAAAGTACCACTCATATAACCCCTTAACCCTAAAAAGTACCAGTCAGATAACTCTTTAACCCTAAAAAGTACCACTCAGATAACCCCTTAACCCTAAAAAGTACCACTCATATAACCCCTTAACCCTAAAAAGTACCAGTCAGATAACTCTTTAACCCTAAAAAGTACCACTCATATAACCCCTTAACCCTAAAAAGTACCACTCAGATAACCCCTTAACCCTAAAAAGTACCACTCAGATAACTCTTTAACCCTAAAAAGTACCACTCATATAACCCCTTAACCCTAAAAAGTACCACTCAGATAACTCTTTAACCCTAAAAAGTACCACTCATATAACCCCTTAACCCTAAAAAGTACCACTCAGATAACCCCTTAACCCTAAAAAGTACCACTCAGATAACTCTTTAACCCTAAAAAGTACCACTCATATAACCCCTTAACCCTAAAAAGTACCACTCAGATAACTCTTTAACCCTAAAAAGTACCACTCATATAACCCCTTAACCCTAAAAAGTACCACTCAGATAACCCCTTAACCCTAAAAAGTACCACTCATATAACCCCTTAATCCTAAAAAGTACCACTCAGATAACTCTTTAACCCTAAAAAGTACCACTCATATAACCCCTTAACCCTAAAAAGTACCACTCAGATAACCCCTTAACCCTAAAAAGTACCACTCATATAACCCCTTAACCCTAAAAAGTACCACTCATATAACCCCTTAACCCTAAAAAGTACCACTCAGATAACTCTTTAACCCTAAAAAGTACCACTCATATAACCCCTTAACCCTAAAAAGTACCACTCAGAGTTTCTTCCAGGCAGAGCCCCCCCCCCCCCCCCCCCCCCCCGAAGAAAGTCTACCGCCCCTCCCCCCGAACGAAATGGAATTTATATAGTAAATATATACTTGTAACTGTGTCCGCCCCGCCACACCCCCCCCCCCGGAAATTTTAGTCCGACCACCCGAAAATAAGTGCCCCCACCCCCTAGGAGAAAAAAGTCTGGAAGAAACACGGGGACCACTCAGATAACTCCCCCTAACAAGTACTCTTGACATAACGGTAACTAACGACGCGTCCACAGCACGACTGGCAGAGCGTGGCGACTTCCGGTGACCTGAACCCACCCATCGAGTACGAGAACACCTACAAGCTCGACCCTGACAGCGGGTTTAACCCCGAGAGGGTCGAGGCTATCATTAAAAAAGTCCTAGAGGACAACCTGGCAGGACAAAAATACGACAAAAATTTGATGGGGACAAGATGTCTTATCTTGAGCGACATCATTAAGGTTTGTGAGTGAGTGTCTGCGTGTGTGAGAGTGTATAACAGTAATTTTTCCATGCATCTCCGCCCCTCCCCCCCCCCCTCCGGAAAAAAATCTGGAAGAAAAACTAGTGTATAAGTGTCTATGCATGTGAATTTCTGTGTGTATGTGAGTGTGAAGTAAATGTGAATGTGTCACATTGTTTCTGTGTTGTGAGTGTCTGTGTGTGATTGTGTGTATTGGTGTGTGTCTATTAGCGTCTGTGAGTGTCTGTGTGTGATTATGTGTGAGTGTTTGACATTTTTTATATGTGTGTGAGTGTATGTTTCTGAGTGTGTTTGTATTAATGTTAGTGTTTGTGTGTTATGTGTATGTGAGTGTGTATATGAGTATATATGTGTTGTGTGTTGGGGTGAAGGTCTTTTTCTATTGGTAAAATGTTTAAACTAGCGCTCATCAAAATGCAGGTGAAAATATTTTATAATGGGAGGGGGTGGGAAAGAAGAGAATCGCACAATTTATTTTTTTAATTCAGTACTACTGTTTCTAAAATTACACTCTAATTAATTAATATCTCTAAGTAATTAGTTCTTCATTAATTATGATTTTTACCAGGAAAAAGTCCGCCAACTGAAACTGAATCGATTCAAAATTGTATGCCTGGTTTTGATTGGAGAGGTAAAGAACCAATCGCTGATGGTGTCTTCCCGCTGCCTATGGGACAACTCGTGTGACAATTTCGCATCCTACAATTACTCCAGTGGCAACCTCTGTGCTGTCGGCATGGTGTTCGCAGTTTACCAAGAATAATATAGTAGAGAAAAAAAAATGAAACAATTTCGCATCTTATAACTGTGGCAACTCTGTGCTGTCGGCATGGTGTTCGCAGTTTACCAAGAATAATATAGTAGAGAAAAAAAAATGAAACAATTTCGCATCTTATAACTGTGGCAACTCTGTGCTGTCGGCATGGTGTTCGCAGTTTACCAAGAATAATATAGTAGAGAAAAAAATTAAACAATTTCGCATCTTATAACTACTCCAGTGGAAACCTCTGTGCTGTGGAATGGTGTTCGCAGTTTACCAAGAGTAATCAGATAGAAAAACAATGAAAAGTATTTTTGCCTTTCTATTAATGTTGACAGAGCAATCTTCACTGTCAAAATGTTGCTTCACTTAACATATATCCATAAAACACATATTCCGTCCAAAAGATATAAAAAGATATAAATTATAATGAACAATACATATCATTTAATAAATATGTTTGTTTACAAAATAAATTTTTATGTGTTTCGTAATTGTTTTGAAAAAAAATATAATTTTGTGCGGACGAATTATTGAATCTGGTGTTTAAGAATAACGGGATAGAAATTCTATCTGACCTGAGTTAAGTGGATTTAATGTGAGTAAAAAAAAAGTGAGTTTTATTAGATAGGCGTTGGTTGATAATTGAATGTCTCGATCTTGTATAGGATGCGTGAGTGTCATTTAATTCTGAACGGAAGATTAACTTTATCGGCCAAAATAATGGATTACGGCCTGAACTCTGGTAGATGAGGCTCGTTAGCTGGGGACAGCAACTCTTCAAAGAGAGACAATTCCAAATTAAAACAACTACTAACTTGTATTCTGTTCCTCGTTGGACAAAAGCTTTATATATATATATATATATATATATATATATATATATATATATATATATCCCATAAAATTATATATATATATATATATATATATATATATATATATATATATATATATATATATATATATATATCATTTTATGGGATATCTCGGTGAACATCTGTTGTTGTGCTTCATATAATGAGCACATTTGGTGAATCGAATTAGAGAAGAGAAAAGTGTATCGCTTTTGTTAAAAATAAAATCCATTGAATTATTATTTTCCCATCAAAATCAGAGGCACAGTAAGCTCAATAGCAATGTATTTGCCTTTATAAAAAAAATAAGTGAAAAAGTATAGGCCTACATGTAACTAAAATTGGGGGAATTTCTAGTCCAGTGTCTGATAATATAATCTTATTAAAAAGGGGGTTAGGTTATTGGTAGTTAACTAAAATATATACATGTCTTGATAATGCTAATTCTAACTCTATCCCTAACCCTAGCCCCAACCCTAGTTCTACCATACGCCTAAACCCTAATTTCCAACCATATAACTAGTCGCGATTACATTATTACTAACAACCTACTACACCGATTTTTGGAAGAGTCTATTAATCGGACATCGGTATCTTCACTCATCCAGAATTTGTAGCATGTGTTTAAAACGCTGATATTAATTTGTTTCTCGCCTTTGTAATTTTGAAAAACAAATTACTAATAAAACAATGTTTGCTTATTTCATCACAAAACCTGTATAACAATGAATTTCAATATCAAATGATTAATACTGGGGAAATAGTGTTGCTGATTATTTATAAAATCATCTAGTTTGAGAAGAAAAATGTGGTACGGATTAAGTCTGTATGCCACTGGTACAATGCGTGGCTTAAACACATATGTTATTAGTGTTGCCATAAGGATACCAATGTTTCAGTTTGATATGAATTGCACAGAAAAATTTATGTTGTATTTAAATTGCATATCTTTGTCGTTGCATTTTATCAACATGAAGTTAACTCTCGCACTGCCTTCATAAACATTCATGACCATCTCATCGACCCCAAAACCCGGATAACGAAAGAGGGTTGAACGTAAGCTAAGCAACCCTAACCTATACAGCGCCAACCTATTACAGAAAACAAACACATTAAACCAACGTGATTTTAAGGAGGAATATTTCTCTGTAGTTGAGCTTATGAACTGTAGTAATTAAAGCAAGCAAGAAAATAAAATAAGAACGTTAATTCACCTGCGTCAACAGACATGCTACAACCACTCCTGCTTCAGTCGTGGAAGGTCAAGTGTTAACCCTAACCCAGTAGGGCTGCTAAACCTAACCCAGTAGGGCTGCTAAACCTAACCCAGTAGGGCTGCTAACCCCACCCCAGTAGGGCTGGTAACCCCACCCCAGTAGGGCTGCTAAACCTAACCTAGTAGGGCTGCTAAACCTAACCCAGTAGAGCTGTTAAACCTAACGCAGTAGGGCTAATATACCTAACCCAGTAGGGCTGCTAACCCAACCCCAGTAGGGCTGCTAACACTAACCCAGTAGGGCCCGCTAAACCCACCCCAGTAGGGCTGGTAAACCCACCCCAGTAGGGCTGCTAAACCTAACCCAGTAGGGCTGCTAAACCTAACCCAGTAGGGCGTCTAACCCTACCCCAGTAGGGCTGGTAACCATAACCCAGTAAAGCTGCTAACCCCACCCCAGTAGGGCTGCTAAACCCACCCCAGTAGGGCTGCTAAACCTAACCCAGTAGGGCGTCTAACCCTACCCCAGTAGGGCTGGTAACCTTACCCCAGTAGGGCTGCTAACCCCACCCCAGTAGGGCCTGCTAACCCCACCCCAGTAGGGCTGCTGGCCCCACCCCAGTAGGGCTGCTAACCTTACCCCAGTAGGGCTGGTAACCCTACCCCACCCTAAACCTTCGGGGTTTACCAATCCTGTAACCGGCGGGCCGGCCCCAAACACTCATCCAGGTATATTTAAATTGAACTCCACTTAAATGAAATGCAATGACGAGGCTTGTGAGTGCGCGTGACATGAATGCACGTTTAAACGTGCAACATAGACATTTCAAAATACAATATGAATCACTGGTATCATTACGGCTACACTAATAACATTTTCCTTTAAGCCACGCATACTGGTGGCATAGAGCCTAGCGTCTGACTTTATCCTTCAACATTCTTCTTCTAAACCAAATGGTTTATTAAATAAACAGTATCACAAATATCCCAGAAATTAATTATCTCGTATTGAAACCCATTGCTACATGATAAAAAAAGAAAAAAATGTGTTATTTATTTATTTATTTATTTATTCGTTTATTTATTTATTTGTATTTCAAAGTTACACCATTGCGAACTTCAAGCACATGTTACAAACTGTATCTCAGTCACAGTCAACACTTAAAACCTGCAGAGGCGTAGCGAGGGGGGGGGGGGGGGCGGGGGGCGCGTACCGCACCGAGTGACACCATTTAGGGGGGTGACACCAAGGCAAAAAAAAGTAAAATATATAGACAAAAATTTGAGTGGGGGGGGGTGCAAATCAAAAGTTTGTCGGGGGGGGGGGAGGGGGTGCAAATAGAAAATTTACAGTTTGTCCACGGAAGAGTCGCTACGCCTCTGGTTGGGTGACACCATTAAGTGCCGCACCGGATGACATCCCGATCTCGCTACGCCACTGAAAACCTGTTGTATTTATAAATAGACCGGGAGTGATCTCCCCTAAACTTTCTCGAATATTCTTATATAACTTGGAATATAGACATGATTTTTAATTACTTAAACTTTTAAAAATAGAATAGAATCTCATAGAAAAAAAGAATTGCGCACCAAGCGAACGCCAAAACAAAATGTGCATAATAGTGCGCAATATTATTAGTACTTTATAAATTTACATGCGATTTTTGAGAAATCGGAAATAGCGCAAATTAGTACTTCCGGCCAACGGAAATTACTCAAAATTTGACAGAAGGTAGAGAATTAGATCTTTTACTCACATGTGAAACTTCATTTATCTATCTGAAATAGTACTCAAGTAATAGGCTTCTAAAAATTTAATGTAGAAAAAGTACCACTTCCGGTTATCGGAAATCGCTCAAAAGTTGATCAAGATCTAAGATTTTGATAAAATACTTATATATAAAATTTTATCAACCTAGCTGTAACGGTACTCAAGTTATCGTGTTTACACACAGACAGACACACAGACATACGGACGATTGCAAAATTATGTTTTTACGTATCAGTGAGGTGTAAAACGTCGAGATTTGTAAAAATCTCCACCTTTTTTGCATGATTACAAGACTTTCTCTATACTTCGTATAAACGAGAAAGTAAAAATGGAGGCTCCCTAGTTCAACGAGTTGGGACGATCCTTATTGTTGTAGTCAATAAAAAACATTTTTTTTTTTTTACTTTCTCGTATATACGAAGTATAGAGAAAGTCTTGTAATCGTGCAAAAAAAAAATCGAGATTTTTACAAATCTCGACGTTTCACACCTCACTGATACGGAAAAACATAATTTTGCAATCTTGTCCGTATGTCTGTGTGTCTGTCTGTGTGTCTGTGTGTCTGTGTGTCTGTGTGTCTGTCTGTCCGTGTGTAAACACGATAACTTGAGTACCGTTACAGCTAGGTTGATGAAATTTCATATATAAGTATTTTATCAAAATCGTAGATCCGTATCAACTTTTGAGCGATTTCCGATAACCGGAAGTGGTACTTTTCCTACTTTGAATTTTTCAAAAGCCTATAACTTGAGTACTATTTCAGATAGATAAATGAAATTTCACATGTAAGTAAAAGATCTAATTCTCTACCTTCTATTAAATTTTGAGTCATTTCCGTTGACTGGAAGTAGTACTTTACGCTACTTCCGATTTCTCAAAAAACTAATGTAAATTTTAAAAGTACTAATAATATTGCGCACCATTATGCGCTTTTTTATTTGGCGTTCACTTGGTGTGCAATTAATTTGTCTACGAGATTTTATTCTATTTTTAAAACTTTAAGTATTTAAAATGGATTAAAAATCATGTCTATAGCCCGAGTTCCCATCCCCTGTTATTTTATACTAGGCATGCTGCCCAGCTTCGCTTAGGCTTTCGAAAACATTGAGAATTTGAATGCTTAATTAATTCGCCCGAAGGTCGGTCTACGACCTCAAGAGTTATGAAGAGGTTCCTCCGTGGACATTTTTTTTCGATTTATAGCTCATATAAGGTACCGGTCAGTAGAGGTCAGTTTTGACCCCCACATCGTAGACTTTTCGGCCAACCGGCCCCCGTGTTATGTCGCACCAAGGCAAGATCATGCCAAATTTGAAGCGCCTGCGGCGCCGGGAAGTGCCCTATCGGACACCCGACAAAGAATTTTTTTTTTAAAGTTTAGCCCGAGCATAATAAAAAAGAATACATTAACCAAGTTGACTTGCTGTGTCTCGAACCCGCACCACCTGCGTGGTTTAATGTACACTAACATCTCCGCTATTTAGGCACCTTATAAAATACGGTGAATGAAACACGTATTTTATAATCTTAACTTACGCGAATATGCCTATTCTTTCAAATTAATTTTTTATCCCAAATTAGCCAGTTCCAAACAAAGATTTTGTATAAAATAAATAAGTCTTGAAATAGTTTAGTCCTAATATAGAAATTTATTTTTGGAATTGATTTTAGAGAAGTTAGAGTCTAAATCTAGATCTTAGCGTCTACGTCTAGATCTAGTTATTGCGTAGATTTAGATTTAGTCTAGATCTAGAATCTCTAGATCTAGAATCCAAATACATAAAATAAATTTTATGAGTTTAGGCCGGAAAAATTGTATTGTATACATTTCATAGTGTACGTAGATCTAAATCAAATTTGAATGAAATAGTTCATTTCTTTTCATTCTAAACACGGCAGATGACGTCATTAGTTAATGTATAAGCAATAGTGACGTCACAGTTTTATGCGTTCTTTTTCACATATATTAATGCTTTTCCGGTTGCATAAATAATACTGTTTCTCTACATTCGAATACGCCTTTAATTTTTATTTTTCTTCTTTAACTAAAATTGTGGTTATACATTTAAAACATCTAACATATTATTTTCAACAAAAGTCCGTATAAAGTTCTGCATATATCGCTGCCGTTTCTGACGTGATGTCCGGCGAAAATATTTTGCGGACAGACAGAGAGAGAGAGAGAGAGAGAGAAGAGCGCACATGGCCTTTTATAAATTAGGATAAGAATATTCGAGAAAGTTTAGGGGAGATCACTCCCGGTTTATTTGTGCTTTTTTTATATTTTAGATTATGCCATTAAAGCGGCCGTAAAACAAAGCCTGAAAATAATTCAGAAAGTTAATATTTTTAGAATCAATGTTATAGCATTTGTATTTATCATTAAACCTAATTTATAACCCGAAGTTTCACTTTCACTTTTTGATTTGCTGTACAGGAACTCTGTGATAGATATTCTGAAACCCCACTTCATAAAGGGCTCATAGTACTTTGTACTCAAAACTTAGCCGATATTTTTGTGGCGTCACGTTTTCTTATCCCCCACCCCTCCCCAACCGTCCTCTTTCCTTTCCTCGTGTCACACAGTGTAACTTATTTATTGATAACCCCCAGTGGCGTTGCGAGGTCGGGTGTCACCCGGTGCGGCACCCCCCAGAGGCGTAGCAAACCTTCCAGGGGACAAACTTTCATTTTTTTTTATTTGCACCCTCTTAAAAGACTATTTAACACTCGAACTAATCACTTAATTAAGTGGAATTATCATTTTTTTCTATATATTTTGCTATTTTTTGCCTTGGTTTCACCCCCCTAAATGGTGTCACCCGGTGCGTTCCGCACCCCCTCGCTACGCCTCTGATTACCCCTATAATTAAAATGTCGCAATACCAAGCATATTGTAATCTCGACAGAGTATCACGTACTGTATCATCAGCATGCTAGCAATCATTTGATACAACGCACGCACTCTAGAACGTCGCCAACACTTCAGTGGTGCTCTTGTGTGAGAGAATAACATTAACATACATCAGACAGCTAACTTGGAGAATGGGACGTGCTTTCATGATAGCTGTCATGACAAGATGTGCTGTCATGCTGGCTGTCATGTCAGGCTTTTTGTTGACTGTGTCAGGTCAGGAACAAGGTAACCATCATCACTTGACTTGTGTCAGTCATCTGTTACTATTTTACTTGACTTGAGTCAGTCAATATCACATCACTATTTTTACTTAACTTTTCAGTTATCACACCACAATTTTACTTGAAATATGTCAGTCAAATGTAACATCACTATTTCTACTTGACTTATGTCAGTCAACTTTCAGTCAATTGGTTTTTGTCTATCATGAACCTGTGTATGTCTGTCAGCCCATTCGTCCGTTCGTCTGTTCGTTTATCCTTTTGTTGATTTTTCCTTTTTTTTTTTTAAATTTCTATCAATAAACAGTACATCCAATTCTTCAAGATGTATTTTTATAGGCTTATTTAAAACAAAATTTAACTCGTATACAAACATAATAATTAATACAATATTTTTTACAATTTATTATTACTTTTTAAATACTACTTACTAAACTTTGTCCAAAAACTACAAATAATGGCCGAGGGTTATCTATTTGGTCAAAAGATACTTAAAGATTTTGGTGTTGAGATGACCCAAGTAGCTGATATTTTTAAAACGTTGCGATGTCAGAATTATTTCTTTTATTAAAAATCCTACTTGCCATCTCTTGCGGTCTGCAAATATTCGACTAAAAATCGTGACGTCAGTTTTGGACCACAATTAAATATTGTTTACTGATTTTAATCGATGGGACGGCATGGTCGACTGGTAGAGCATACGACTGCTAAGTCTCGAGTTCAAATCAGGCTTCAAGTTCACTTAGCGCTGAGGGGTACCTGACCCACATTAGAGAAAATAAAGACAGCGTGCAACAAGATATCAGTTAATAATATACATAATATAAAGTTTATTGCAAATATACAACACAGTATGAAAAAATAAATATTCAAACCTTTTAATATTATTAATGGCGTTTAAGTTATCTGTACATCAAATTATAATCAACCTTAATCAGCAAACATGTCACGGCCCTTTACAGGTAAGTTTTTCTCAACGGCCAGTGCAATGCCTGGCCGGAACGGCTAGTTCTACATATTGGTGTAAGTAAAACTTGTGTAATGTTGTACATATTGGTGTAAAGTGTTAATATATATATATATATATATATATATATATATATATATATATATATATATATATATATATATATATATATATATATATATGTATATATATATATATTACGGTTTATGTAATGTTGTACATACTGGTTTAAAGTCCTATGCAATGTTTTACATACCGGTGTGAGCTCTTATGTAATGTTGTACAGATTGGTGTAAAGTCCTATGCAATATTGTACATACCGGTGTAAGCTATTATGTAATGTTGTACAGATTGGTGTAAAGTCCTATGCAATATTGTACATACCGATGTAAGGTCTGATGTAATGTTGTACAGATTGGTGTAAAGTCCTATGCAATATTGTACATACCGGTGTAAGGTCTGATGTAATGTTGTACAGATTGGTGTAAAGTCCTATGCAATATTGTACATACCGGTGTAAGCTATTATGTAATGTTGTACAGATTGGTGTAAAGTCCTATGCAATATTGTACATACCGGTGTAAGCTATTATGTAATGTTGTACAGATTGGTGTAAAGTCCTATGCAATATTGTACATACCGATGTAAGGTCTGATGTAATGCCGTCTCTTACAGTTACCGCTGCAGCGCCGTGTACAGACCCGACGTGCACAGAGAGCAACACGCCACCACCACAAACGTGTGCAAAGTGAGACAACTTTTATGATAGAGCAATTCTTTTTAATTGATCTTTTCATACCGTGTTTACCTGTTCTGCCGAAACTGTTACTTTATTTACCTGTCCTACTACTTTGTTTACCCGTTTTTCTACTTTGTTTACAAGTCATTATGCTTTCTTTACCTACACCTCCTTTACTCTTTCTGTGAAAGTAAAAGTAAAGAATTCTCCTTAGACCTAGCGTTCCATTTGGCAGATGAAGTAGAGTTCATGTTTCTTTATCTCGGGACATAAAGGAAAGGTATGGTCAGCACTGTGTCAGCCGCCTTTACTTTTCTTAACCTGAGTTAGGTACCCACCAGAGCTGGGTAGACTCAGGGACGTTAGCAGCTTAACGCTCTACCGCTTTGGCCACACCGTTACCATTTCTGTGAATGTCCTACAATTATTTGCGCTAACAGCACTTTCACGATTCTATCTAAAGAAAAACATATTTTAATTTTCTTATACTTGTAAAAAACACGTTCAAATAACGACTTGTTTTTACACTCATTTTCTTTTTTTTTTCTAGCTGCGTGTACCCGCCTTTTGACCAGACCAAGTGCTACCAAAACCCTGACCCAAATGCCCAGTACCCAGCGTGCTGCAACCCGCAGATCATCTGCCAAGGCGAAACTGGCTTCGACACCACGCAAATCCTTGGCATGGTCAACGCAGCAGCTAACGTTGGGAGCGTTCTACAGGGAGCCGGGAGTGTCATCGCAAGTCTGAAACAACCGGCCGGAAACCCGGCATCTGTTAAGCCGGCCGGAAACCCGGCGCCAGCTAAGCCGGCCGGAAACACGGCGCCTGCTAATCAAGCGATAAAACCAGCGGCTGCTCAGCCGTTGGGCAATGCGGCGCCAGCGAAGCCGGCCGGAAACACGGCGCCTGCTAACTCAGTGTTCAAACCAGCGGTTCTTCAGCCGTTGGGAAATGCGGCGCCTGCTAACTCAGTGTTCAAACCAGCGGTTCTTCAGCCTTTGGGACATGCGGCGCCTTCTTTTTCGGCTGCTAAACCCCTTGGAAATCAGGCGCCTTCTTTTCCGGCTCTTAAACCGGCTGGAAATCCGGCGCCTGCTAAGCCAATTGCTGCGCCAAAGCCTGCTATAAAGCCGATAAAGGGATAATACAACAATTGTCGATTTAGGATAGAAGATAGTTGTTTGGATGTATTCAGAGTAGTAACTTGTGTTGATCAACGGATTTCAACGGGAGGGGAAATAATGGGACATAATCAAGGATAAAATGGGTAAAACAAGAAAAAAAGAAAAGATAGCCTATATTTTGGTAAATAACAAGGAATCAGAACAAGAATTGATGTAATACAGATAACTTAGAAATTAAAAACAATTAACTAACGTACTTGTGTTTCTTTTTATAAGCTTAATTTCGTTCAAAATGTCTGGTAGTTTGTTTACATTTTGTGGGTTTGTGGCAAATATGGTAACTCAATTCTGACTCACATCTGATGAAGCAATGACATCCATGCCTTTCAGATACAATAATTCAAATGACAATGCAAGAATATCTCATTTTTAATCTAATTTAACGGTAGATAAGTCATTAAAATCCAGTTAAAATATTACTCAATTCAGTGTTAAAAGGGGAGATAACAAGATTAAGTACCAGGGTCGCTCGATAAACAAATTGACAACGGTGAACTGTTTAGTTACGGGTCCTTGTTGTCTTGTGTATGAGTCGACCATGGACTAAAAAGGGGCGGATGTCTTAGAAAATCGCAAGCCACTGATCCGGTTTTAAAGCAATGTTTTTTGTCGCATGTGGTGTCGACTTCATTAAGAACAAAGCTTTAAAAAGTATAAAATAAAACAATTATTTTTTAAAAAAGTGTACAATAAGCTTTTAAATGTACTGAAAATTAAGAAATACAGGTGATAAACAAACTTACTATCTTTAATAAAACCATCGTGAAATATCTTACATGCATTAGCGCAGTGGCGTAGGCAGGGGGGGTCATAACCCCCCCCCCCATAGACCCCTCGGTATATAGAAAAAGTATGAGGGGTGTGTGCAAATCGAAAGTTTGAGGGGGGGGGTGCAAATCGAAAGTTTGAGGGGGGGGGGGGGTGCAAATCGAAAGTTTGAGGGGGGGGGGGTGCAAATCGAAAGTTTGAGGGGGGGGGGGGGGTGCAAATCGAAAGTTTTTCCCCGGGTAAAAATTGGAACCACCCCCCCCTTGAGACGATCCTGGCTACGCCACTGCATTAGCGACAAATGTTTCTGTTAAAAAAGAAAGCAAGATTGCTATTTTTTTTAAATATGAAGAATTTTCGTATTTGTTTTTTTTTTTTAATCTACGTTCCATAATTTCTGAAAGACAGTTCAAAAGTGACAACAGTTATCCCCCTTGCAATTCAACCATTCTTTCATTCTTTGTAAAAGCGACTTTTATCTACATAAACCTATGACATAATAACATAGCATGGTGAAAGAAACAAATAAACCCTATTTTAATTGAACAATTGGACGCAAAGTTTGAAACGCGATTTATTTGTCACTAGCAGCATATACCAAGCGCTGCCCGGGGTGTGGCGAATAAATATATTTTCATTTATATATCTGCATCCGCTGAAAGCTAGCGATCATCAAACGTGGACTGGAACAACCCTCAAGCTTTTATATATAGCTGTCTAATGAGAATATTACATAAAAACGGGTTTGATACAGTACTTAAAATAACAATTAAAAAACATAACTAATCCAGAGGCGTAGCGAGGGGGGCGGGGGTACATATGTCCCCGGGCGCCGACCCTAGGGGACGCTAAAATGGGTTGAAAGAAAATTAAAAGCTCCTTTTAGCTGCAGTTTTATAAATATAAAAAATATATAGGGGGCCAAATTGAAAGTTTGTCCCCGGGCGCCGAGAAGGGTCGCTACGCCTCTGAACTAATCTAATTCAGCACGAAATTTAGAAAAAAAATGTGGAGAAGGATAGGACACATGTTGAGTAAACTGGCCATTATTATTCGCAGACAAGACAAATTATGGAACCAACAAAATTAATGAATGTGTGGAAGACACGGAGCATCTGGCATCAGAAGAGTGAAAAAGATATGTAAATTATTTGAAGGGGTTCTAAAATCTATGGAAGAATAGCAAAAGATAAAAAAAAGACATTTTTTCCATACCTAGTATGGAAGGATGTTGTAAATGATATATTTTTCACTTGGAGTTTTAAAAGGGCGAAGAAGAAGATAATATGACTAATTTATCATAAGAATATATAGGTTAGTGTCAGAATGTATAATATAACATTTTTCTTTTGTAGATGTGAGTAGTGCGAAAAACCAAGGGAGCTCATCAAATATATTATATTTTTAAAGGCATTTTTGGATTTACTTCCCTTTAAGTTACCTGTCACAATGTTTACGCTGGGTAGCAAGTTCACACTGGACTAGTGGACATTTAGAAACCCGACGATCAATTTGCAGGACATTTCAATTAAAAAAAAACCTCTTCCACTCCGAAAACTCCTGTTTACATTGAATGTGTTTGTATAGGTGCTAGTGTTAGAGTTAGTAAACGTAAAGAAAAGAAGTTTATTCTTTCTAGGCAACCCTCCCTTGGGTTATAAATACCCCCCCCCTTCCACCCCTACATCTATCGCATTATGAAATTATGATTGTTATATTGTGCAAATGTGAAAAAAGGTTTACAGTTTTATATTAGCATTCAAACAAGTTTTATGACGGTTTCAAGAACGTAAATTTGCTTTTTACGGCTGTCTCAAGTTTTATGATTAAAGCATTACAAGCAGCCGGAGCGCGGCACTTTTGGGGGTCCCTGTGACATCTGACCCCTTCCATCCCCATGGATACGTCAATACGTCAAAATGTCAACTACTTTAGGCTATCTAACCATTTTAAATGTCATAGATTACGCATTTTTATCAGAGTATCACTCTAGTATGTTTAGAGTGTCAAGCTAGTATGTTTAAAGTGTCACGCTAGTATGTTTAAAGTGTCACGCCATTATGTTTAGCGTGTCACGCTAGTATGTTTAAAGTGTCACGCCATTATGTTTAGAGTGTCACGCTAGTATGTTTAAAGTGTTATGCAAGTATGTTTAGCGTGTGGTTGAAGTGTCACGCCAGTATGTTTAGAGTGTCACGCCAGTATGTGTAGCGTGTGTTTGAAGTGTCACGACAGTATGTTTAGAGTGTCACGCCATTATGTTTAGAGTGTCACGCCAGTATGTTTGGAGTGTCACGCTAGTGTGTTTAGAGTGTCAAGCCAGTATATTCAAATCGACACGCCAGTATGTTCAAAACAGCACGCCAGTATGTTCAAAACAGCACGCCAGTATGTTCAAAACATCACGCCAGCAAGATTGATAAGTCACGCCCGTATGTATAATGTATTGCGCCTGTACGATCAAAAAGTGTCACGCCGGTCTGTTTAATTTGTCACGCAAACACCGTTTGTTGTGTCATTTTTTTAAAAAGGGAAAGCACTCATATTAAAAGGGAAAGCACTCATATAAAAAAGACACTACATGACGTAGTCAATGCGGAATGGATGCCGGCTTGGGTGTTAGATGTTGATCTTTCGCTTAATACGTGAAGTAATATTTGACATTTTTTTTTAGCTGAGACGCATTTTCATCTACACGGAATC